GGAGTTGGAGTCTCACTCTGTTGCCCAGACTGGAGTACAGTGGCCACTCCCGGCCACCACAGCCTCGACCTGCTGGGCTCCGGCGATCCTTCTGCTTCAGCCTTCCAAGTAGTCGGAATTTCAGGCATGCGCTGCCACACCTAGCTGATTTTTTGATTTATTGTAGAGTTGAGGTCTCGCTGCCCAGGCGGGTCTCGAACCAGTGGGTTCAGGCAATCCACTCACCTCAGCCTCCCAAAGGCGCGGGATTACAGGCTGAGCCACCGAGCCTGGTTCTCTTTTCTTTATAAATTGCCTGGTTTCTGATATTCATTAAAGCAACACTAAATGTACTAAGACAGCCCTGAAACCCAAGAGTAGTGATGCTGGCAATTCTGATATGCCAAAGAGAAGTCATGCTTCCTTTAAGTAAAAGGAAAATTCTAAATGTAAGGAAAGAAAAAAAATATAGGCTGCTAAGATATCTAAAAAGAACAAATCTTCTACTCATAAAACTATGATGAAGGGGAAACAATTCATGCTAGTTTTGCTGTTGCCCCACAAACTGCAAAAGTTATGACCATAATGTGTGATAAGTACGTAGTTAAGATGGAAAGGGCAAACTACTCACCTAACAGGTGACTAACATCCAGAAAGTACAAGGAATTCAAACAACCGAACAGTCAAAGAAACCAAATAATCCCTTTAAAAAATGGACAAAGGACATGAACAGACATTTCTCAATGGCTAATATCAAAAAGACAAAAAAATAACATGCTAGTTAGGATATAGAGAAAAGGAACTCTTATGCACTGCTGGTAGGAATGTAAATTAGGACAACCATTATGGAAAACAGTACAGAGATTTCTCAAAGAACTAAACTAAAATACTACTTGATATTTATCCAAAGGAAAATAAACCAGTATATCAAAGAGATATCTGCTCTTGCATGATTAGCTTAGCACTATTCACAATAGCCAAGATATGGAACCAACCTAAGTGTTCACCAACAGATGAATGGTTAAAGAAAATGTGACATATATACAAAACAGAATACTATTTGGCCATTAAAAAGGAATTAAACCATGTCATTTGCAGCAACATAGATGAAACTGGAGGTCCTTATGTTAAGTGAAATAAGTCAGGCACAGAAAGACAAATACCACATATTCTTATTGTAGGAACTAAAAAGCTCTTATGTGGGAGCTAATAAACTTGATCTTATAGACATAGAGAATAGAATGACAGATAACAGAGACTAGGAAAGGGATGGGTGGGTAAGAGAGAGGGTAAGAGAGCTTGGTTAATGGGTACAAACATACAGTTAGAAGAAGTAAGTTCTGGGGCTAGGAGCAGTGGCTCACGCCTGTTATCCCAGCACTTCAGGAGGCTGAGATGGGAGGATCGCCTGAGTCAAGGGGTTGGAGACCAGCCTAGGTAACATAGTGAGACTCTGTCTCTACAAAAAAAAAATTGCCAGGCATGTAGCATGTGCCTGCAGTCCTAGATATTGGGAGGCTGAGGTGGAAGGATTGCCTGAGTTCAGAAGGTCAAGGCTGCACTGTACTCCAGCCTGGGCAACAGAGATCCCAATTCAAAAAAAAAGTAAGAAGAAGAAGAAATAAGTTCTAATATTTCATAATAGAACAGATGACTATGCATAACAACAATATTTTACATATTTCAAAGTAACTAGAAGAAAGGACTTGAAATGAAACCAACACAGAAATGAAAATATTCAAGGTGATGAATACCCTAATTACCCTGACTTGATCATTACACATTCTATGCATGTAACAAGTACTCACATGTATTCCACAAAGATGTAAAATATTATTTATTAATAAAAGAAAAAAAGATGAAAAGGGCATTAACTTTGTGGGTGGAAGACATGAACAGAAATGTGTTCCAATTGAGAGTAATTGAGGTTGGTACTATCAGCAGTTTCAGGCATCCACTAGAGACTTGGAATATAACCCCCACTGACAAGGGGTGTCTACTTTATGTCTAAATTAGTAGCTAGCCAGGCTCAGTGGCACAGCCTGTAATCCCGTGCCTTTGGGAGGCTGAGGTGAGTGGATTGCCTGAGGCTGCAGGTTCGAGACCCGCCTGGGTAACTTGGCGAGACCTCATCTCTACAATAAATCAAAAAAATTAGCCAGGCATGGTAGGGCGCACCTGTAATTCCAGCTACTTGGAAGGCTGAGGCGGAAGGATCGCCAGAGCCCAGCAGGTCGAGGCTGTGGTGGCCGGGAGCGGCCACTGCACTCCAGTCTCGGTGACAGAGTGAGACTTCAACTCAAAATAAATAAATAAATAAATTAGCTAGCTAATGTACTTGGGTAACCATCTGATCAGGTATTCATGCTACAAAAAGATAAAGTGCAGTCCTTAGAAAAACATTTTTTGAAATAAAAATGTTTTAAAAAAAGCACTCTGCACTTTCAAGTGAAAGAAAATAATTAAAATACATTTTAAGAAGACAATATAGTACTTAAAAAACTCCATATTTCATTTAGTATATAGTTAAAATATGTATTCATTTATTCAACAAATATTTTACTTCTATGTGTCAGGTTTTATTTACTGAAAGTCTTCTAAGCATAGGGGACAGATCAGTAGTCAAGCAAAGTCCCAGTTTTCATGGATTCTAACTTGCTAAGTTAAGGGGAAGACTATACAAATATACACATATGAATATATACATAAACACACATAAACATATATTCATATATGAGAGGGAGCCAAAAAACCCAGAATTTCTTTATGAAAAATTTTGTATTTATTTTTACAGTTTCAGTTTTTATTTTAAACTTCAGTTACCTTCAAAGTACTCTCCATTTGATGCAATACACCTATCAAGACACTTTTTCTAATGCTCAAGACAGTTTTCGAACTTGCCAATTTTGGTGCCTTTTAGGGTTATTGACATTTTTTATTTCACCTCTTCCACACTGGCAAAATGTTTCCCTTTGAGGGCTTTTTTCATCCAAGGGAAAAAAAAAAGTCACTCAGGGCAAGATCAGGTGAATGGGAAGGGTGGGGCATGAGGGTCATGTCATTTTTTGGTCAAAAACTGCTGAGCACTCAGCTTAGTGTGGTCAGGTGCACTCATAAATCACCCATCATGAAAGGGGCAAACAAGTTGAAAGAATCTCCCAAAAAAATTCACTGAAGCCGAACGCAGCTTCCCACAACGCTAGCTGGTACACTGATGCCAAGGGGTTTCTAGAACACTTACCTAGTGGGGGAAGCCTATACAATAGGGAGCCCAGTCTTCAAATTATTTGGAGGCACTCCCCCATACATATATATGTAGTAGACAGTAATATAAGCTAAGAAAATAATGCAGAGTAAAGGTTTAGAGAATGGTAGAAGATGATATGTTATACTGTGTGGTAGGAAGCGCTCTCTAAGAAGGTGGCATTTGAGTAGACCCCTGAATTCAGTGAAGGAGTAAGCCACACTTCAAAGAACATTCCAAGCAACAAGAATAGCCACTTTTCCACAGAACAGGCTCTTTTAGAGTTGTGAGTCTCTCATCCTTAAGGGTATTCAAGAAGACAACACCCCCCCCATTGGGGGATGTTATAGAGGGTAGTGATCCTGCAGGTTAAGAGGTCTGGAGAATACCCACAGCCTCACCTAATCCTTAGATTCTGGACATGCACACATTTTTTTTTCCAATAAAAATTCTCATTATATCAATCAGGAGATTTATTTAGAAACCAATGGGCTTTTTGATCTCCTGTGATTATATATATTCTACTCTTTTTGAAAATCTTTGTTCAAAATCAGTAATATAATTATGACCAAAACAAAGAATGGATTTGAGACACAGTCAGACCTGAGTCTAAATTCTAGGTCACACAATCTGGGCAGATACTTAGCTTCTCTAGTCTGCATTTCCTCATTATCACAGCCAGACTAATCATTCACCTTAGAGTTGTAAAAATTAGAAATGATATGTGTAAATAAATCCCTTAGCATGCTGCCTGGTGTATAACTGGCATCCAATAACTAATAACTACCATTAAGAATCGAGGTTCTTAGAACTACTATCTGTTTTTACTTATACCGAGTTCCATTCCTATTAAGACTAACAATCTGTGAAGAAATTGTTTTCAGAGTATGATCTGGTTAATAAAAAGGGCAAACTAATAATGTAGATTTATCATAACTCAATGAAAAGAAGAAAAGACCCCAAATGAACAAGCCTCTACTAAGTGAATAGGTGCAACGTGAAAGGTATCTTGTTGAGAGGGAAGTTGCTAAAACTTGGATATAAGCTCAGAAAACCTCTTCAAGCATATGCATCACTTCAAGGGATACTCATTACACTTACTGGGAAAGAGCCTGGCTCCTTTCTATGGCTGTCACTTCCTGCTTCCCACCATGCAGAACCAACGCTGCTGTTTTGTGGAACAGTTCAATTGAGCAGGCAGTCAGTTCCGCTAGGCTTCGGATTGCAAATGCATGGATATCCTGGATGGAAAGCAAAACAAAACACAGGCTTTTTGTTTTTAATCTTCATTTTTAGACATGATTTTGCTTCTCTCATACTGAAGGATTCAGTATTTTGAAAGTGGCAGAGACTAATAGCTGTCCTCCAATAAACATTCTCTTCTTCTTCCATAGCAGTGACATACAAAGGCTCCCCTAAAGTCATGTGTGACCACATACCTAAGTTTTGGCCAAAAGATTTAGATAAAAAAGTGTCTGAGACAGCTCCTGGAAACCTCCCTCATGACAAAACACACATGCACCCTTTCTCTTTCTTCACTCCTCCTTTAATTTTATAGCCTAGACCTAAGATGTTACAATCTTGGATCACAAGGTTGAAATTATGGATAGTAGTGCAGCAAAACAGAAGAAGCCTGGGTCCCTAATTATAATATCCTCATTTCAAATCTATTAAAACAAACAAAAAGCCTTATTGCTTTGGCTACCTCTATTGAATTTTTGTTGACCTGCTCAGTATTCTCTGCTTCCAACTGTTCTTCTCCTTCTTCTTTCTCTGCTAATGGCTTAGGCAGAGATGTCCTGATCCACTCGTGGGCAGTATTTCTTGCCTAAATAAGAAAAATATTATTGTTCATTAGCAATTCAATTCAGCTCACCAAGATTACTGTGCATCTACCAGGAACATGTTAGGAGCCCAGAAGCTGGTACTGTTGTTCTCACCTGAACATACCACCCAGTTTTACAGTCTGTATTCTACTAGACCTCTCAACAACACTTAATGCTGCTGCCACTCATTCCTTTTTGAACTTCTCTAATCCTTCTGCTTTTTTAAAAAACTGAGGTATAACTTACATAAAGTGTACAGATTTTCAGAGTATAGCTCAAGAAATGTTTACGAATATATGCCTGTGAAACTGTGACCAGATCAAGATTTATATACCATTCCTATCATCCCCAGAAGGTCCTTTCATGTCCCTTCCTACAATACTGCTCAAACCATTTTCCCTTCTCCCACCCAAAGACAACCTCTCTTCTGCTCACTATAAATTTTACCTGTTAAAGGGGCAACCCCTTCAGGTTCCCTCCTACTGTGGGAGCTTTTCTGTCCTCTCAATAAATCCTGCTTTCTAAAAAAAATAAAAAATAAAATTTACCTGTTCTTAAAATGCATAAAAATAGAACCATAAGTTCATTCTAATTCATGTTTGGCTTAATAAGTATAACACAATGTTAGATTTATCCATGTTGTTGCATGTATTAGTCGTTCATTCTCATTAACTGGTGTGTAGTAATTCTCTTTATATACAGTCATGCACCACATAATGATGTTTCAGTCAACAATGGACTGCATATACAATGGTGGTCCTATAAGATAATTAACCATATTTTTACTATACCTTTTCTGTTTTTAGATACACAAATACCATTGTGCTGCAATTGCCTACAGTATTCAGGACAGTAATATGCTGTATGTATAGCCTATTGTATGTAGTAGGCTATTTCATCTAGGTTTGTACTTAGGCACTACGACAATCACACAATGACAAAATCACCTAGCAATGCAGTTCTTAGAACTTATCACCATCGTTAAGTGACACATGACTAGATATATCACAATTTATCCATTTTCCTCATAATGAATCTTTGGGTTGTTTCTTGTTCTCTTTGGCTTTTGTAACCCCACTATCTTCTGGTTCTTCCCCTACCTTTATGCTCATTCCCCCTCAACCCCTTGTATGTACTGATGTTACTTGGCAGTCCCTTTATCACCAGTATTATTTGGAGTTCTAGCCTTCACTGTCTACTTGCCTCGCCCTATTCCCTCTCCTTGAGCACCTCCATCCATACCATTCCAGTGACTTGAACTATCCCCAACCTGCTGCCTGACTCCTGGATCCTTATTTCTAGCCCTGAACTCTCCTGAAAACAACTTATTCCAAATGCCTATGGAACAGGATATTCTGAAGACATTACACATACAACATAGGGAAAAAAAATTGAACTCATCATTTCTCTTCCTACCCAATTTTTCATTCTTTTATTTTCCAATGTTTTAGAGATGCTACCATATACCAGCCACCTGAGTTAAAATATAAGAGCCACCTTACAATTTTTTCCTCTCCAATCAAACACCATGATGGTCTGATTTTACCCAAGTAGTTCTCCAGTCTGCCTCCTCTTTACCTTGCTCCTCCTCCTCTTCTCCCTCCCTATCACTGGCACTTGAGCTCAGATCCACTTCATGACTGGTCTCCCTGCTTCTGATCCGGTTCATCTTAACCCATCTTCCATAATGTTACCAGTGATCTGTCTTAAGTCCAGAGCTGATCATTCCTCTGTCCTTCAGTGGCTCCTCAGCAACTAGACCATGCTCTTTTACATGATGTAACACGTCTCCATGACAGATCCTACTTTTCTAGCCTCATGTCTTACCACTTTCCAGTTTATGGTCTGGTAAGAATGACCTAGTCTTTCCACCCAAGCATTAGATCTCCCAGGTGACTTGAATTTAATACTCACCAAATTTATTGGTCACTTCTTAAACTTAGTAGTTTCCAAAATATACTGAAATTAACTATGTGTCTGCTTCCTAACTAAACTATATGTATCATAGGATAGCCGGAGAGCATTTTATTGGGCTCTGCACACCCAGTGTCTGGCAGCTTCAGAGAACACCTAAGGTTTGTACCTGGCCAGCACCCGTATCTTCTCTCTTTTGGCAGCAGGTTACAGATTCTCCTTATGTTCATGTGATTTGGGCGGGGCTGCCTCCATCCCTTGGCCCCAAGAGTCGGCAAATAACTCAAATAACTCACAGATGTAGCTACTAAGACTATTAATCCCCCTGACCACACAGTGATTGATTCACGGATGAAAAAACTGACCCAAGCCAGGGCAACGGACATCAGCCTCAAGACACCAGGTAAATAGAAGTGTTCTTTCTGTTGGAGTTACCCACCTGGAAAAAAGTCACTTACTCTGAAGCTGCCAATGGTTATTTCACCAACATATGGAAAAGCATTCCCAAGAATGAAGCCAACACCAAAGGAAGCAAGCTAAGAAACGGAGATAGGGAAAGGATCCTGTGCAGAGCAAGGCCTGAAGCCTGTTCTGCTCCTTGGCTTTTTAGTTTCTCGAGCTACTGAATTCCTCCCTTTTCTTAAGCCTGTCTGGCTTGAGTTTTTGTCATTTGCAAGTGAGAGAGTCATGGTTTCTACTGACTCATTTTACATACACAGAACGTGTTCAAAGCTGTAATAAGGTAACAGGAACCCAGAGAAGACCTTGAGAGTCATTCTGACTGAGAATTACAGATGTTATTACAGACACGGCATTGGTGTTGGATTTTTAAGGATCAACTGGTGAGATTCTACCCAAAGCTACAACACAAGTGAGCTAAAGCAGAACCTGTGTTCCCAGACGTTCATTTCATATCCTCCCACAAAAGCCTTCAGGACCAATCTGGCTTTGATCTCTACTTTTCCATTACTTAAGCATTAACCTATGAAATTCAAAAAACCAAAAAGAATGAATCACATAAAAGCTCAGAAGCAGGAAATTGCAAAATGTGTTGAGCAAACTGTGAGATACCTAGCAAGACCTGAGTACAGGGTACAGGCATTTCTCCATTCATTCATTCATAGCAAATACTGCACACTGTCGGGGTGCAGAGGATTCAGTGGTGAATAACACAAACAAGGGCCTTACTCTTCTCTGTTCTAGTGAGGAAAAGCAATTAACAAGCAAACAAATAGATGTGAGAAGAAAAATATGTGGTGATGTAGAGTATGGACTAGGTGAGTAGAGAGGGTAACTTGAATCTGGGTAATCAGGAAGAGTCTCTGAGGAGTGATATTTGAGCATGAATCTAAAGGAGTAAGACAAACAAATAATTAGGCAAAGAGAATTGTAAGCACAGGGAAATCAGCTTGGTTATTTGAGAAACAGAACAAAGGCTGGTATAGGAAGAATAAAGAGGATAGGGGAGCATGATAGGAGATGATGTTGGAGTAGTGAGAGTAATAGAGCAGTGAAAGGTGAGGCCAGAAAGAATCCTAACAGTTGACTAATAATCTAAACAGTATGTTAAATTCTTTGCAATCTCTTTGAAGAGATAAAATAAGAGACACGCCATGGATTGATTTATCTGAGACTGAAAAATAAAGAAAAAAATGGTATTATAAAAATATTTGAAGAACATATTTGAGTAGGTATACTGCAAACCCAAAGTGACCTTTCTTATAATAAATACATTAAGTGACATCATCCTGAACTACTGTGCCAACTCAAAGTAATTTGTTATCTTTTCCCAAAATTATTAATGTTATCTACCCCCATGATTCAGTCTGGGACTTCCCATTGGCAAGATCTGGAGACTGAGGAATTAAAAGGCACTTTTGAGTAGCTTCTCTAACCACTGATCTTTTTCCAGTTGAAAAACACTGAAGGTTGGAAAAGGAATGGGATTTGCCCAAGGTCATACCACATGTGAGTGTCAGAACAAGAATGTGAGTCACACTCCAGACTGCTACTTCACTGCTGTTTCCCTGCATCCCAGCCTCCCATGTAAACCCCTGGGGTTAATGGTCAGAGCCTTAATTCTACATCATTCTATATATTAAGTCTCAATGCCTAAAATTTAAACAACCTGAAGACTACTTTCAAAAAAGATGGCTAGAACTACCAGACAACCAAGAGCCTTACTGGTTTTTCAAAAATATCTATTAATATGGTCTCCTTGAGCATGAAAACAATGTCTTTTTCACTATTATTTCCCTAGCACCTAGCTAATTACTTAGTATGATAAAAGTTTACTGAATACATGTATATTGATTGAATACCTAAGCACATAAGACATGAGGCTGTGGGGCCATCAACAGTGAGTATTTATTTATTATAAGCCAGGCACTTTGTAAGAGCTTTGTGAGTGCAAACACATTTAATTTTCACAGGAGCTTACATTATCCTCACCCCGCAGATAGAGAAACAGAAGCACAGAGAAGTTAGAAGCACAGAGAAGTTAAGCTACTTGCTCAAGGCCACACGCAAAGTAACAGGTAGAAGAGTTAGAATTTTAAAGACCAATTATGCACAGATCCTGCTCTTAAGAAATTTTAAATTCAGGATAGAAAGTAAGATACACACATTAAAAAAAAACTACAATAAATGTATAAAAATACCATATGTATAAAGTAAATGAAAAACACAGAGTGCTAAAGAACAACAAGTATGCTAACTTTTGTGGCAGGAGCAGATGTAAAAAAAATATGTCTGCTTATCTTTTCAAAAAGAAATTCAGGAAAGATAAGTCAGAAAGCAAGAATGGTGAATACCTAAAAGGAAAGAAAAAAAATGAAATGAAAGGGGTTTCACTTCTCTGAGGATATTTTTTGTATAGTTTGACTTTTGGAAATATGTTAATACTCTACAGATTTAAAAATTAAATCAAATTAACACGAAAAGACAGCAAATAATACACAAGTTATTTTTGTAGGTTGCTACAGTACAGGTTGAGCATCCCTAATGTGAAAATATGAAATCTAAAATTCTCCAAAATCTTAAAGTGCTGACATGATACCACAAGTAGAAAATTCTATATCTGACCTCATGTGACATGTTGTGGTCAAAGCACAGTTAAAACTTTGTTTTATGTGCAAAATTATTAAAAATAATGTATAAAATTACCTTGTTTTTTGTGGTTTTTTTTTTTTTATTGGCACCTCATTCTGTTGCCCAGGTTGGAGTGGAACACTCATGGCCACCACAGCCTCGACCTGCTGGGCTCAGGTGATCCTTCCACCTCAGCCTTCCAAGTAGCTGGAACTACAGGCATAAGCCACAAGACCTAGCTAATTTTTCTTTCTTTCTTTTTTTTTTAATTGTAAAGATGAGTTCTCACCAAGTTGCCCAGACTAGTCTTGAACCCCTGGGCTCAGGCAATTCTCTCACTTCTACCTCCCAAAGTGCTAGGATTATAGGCATGAGCCACTGTGCCAGGTAAAATTACCTTCACCCTATGTGTGCAAGGCATATATAAAACATAAATAAATTCTGTGTTTAGACTTGGGTCCCATCCAAGACATCACATTTTATGCATATATGCAAAATATTCCAAAATTCAAAACACTTTTGTTCCCAAGCATTCTGAATAAGGGATATTCAACCTGTAATATAAGCAAAGCAATGAAATTATTTCAGACAGACATGATCAAGGAAATGTGCAAGTGTTGTTTGATGGCAAGGTTCCTCTGTGGAAGAAGGAAGATACAAATGTGTAATGGGAAAAGGCAAGAACAACCCTATAAGAATGAATTAAAACTGGAGTCATCCATGTGAACTCATGATTTCCATGTAAATGTGTACATGTGCACATATTTATGTATCTACATAAATAACACAGATGTGTATGTATATGTACACACCCATACATGCATACACACTTGTATGTGTGTACCTGAGTATATTTCCTACTTCTGCTGACAGGGCCTAGAAGCAAAGACACTCACTCCAGTAGCAATGAGTACAACCAGTACCCAGGTGTTGGTCTGTAAAGCAAAAACAAACAAACAAAAAAACCCCATGGTGTCTCAAAGAAATGGCTGATTCCACAGCTGGGGCACAGAAGGTACAAGATGAGTCTAGAATATCTGCCAGGAACTAAAGAAGTGCCCCCAAAATGATGGGGCCTGCCACACAGAAGCCATCCTGAAGGACCATTTGAACATCAAAATAATTAAGGATAGTGATGAATTACAAACCAATGGGGGAAAATAGGACTCCATGAAATCATACTGACAACAAATAGACACAAAGAACAAACTAGAGAAAAGGGTGAGCTCTTGATTACACTAGAATGCTGAAAGCCAACTGGCAAATGTGGGGAGAGTGCTGGGGTTGGAAAAAAAAATCATCATTTTGCAACCTTCACAGTAAAGATTGATACAGCAAGAATAATGAATAGATGCTAAATTTACAGTGGAAATTATGATGAAGAACAGGATATTTGTGTGGTCCTAAAGTGTCTCCCCACATAAAGCTTATTAGTATCATGGGAAAATAAATCATAACTCTATGAAGAGAAATCGACAACACATCACCAGTAACAGGCAGACAGGTTTCATATGTCTTTGGATGCAATACCCTGGGCAGAGCATACCATAACTTAGGGAGTATCTTGGTCAGGAATTCATACCTTATTTTAATCATAAGAAAACATTAGACAAATCTCAAATGAGGAGTATTCTATTTTTATAAAAAGCAGGGGAAACTTGTATTTTTCAAAAATGTCAGTGTCATAAAGGAACTATTCCAAATTAAAGGAGACAAAGTACATGACAACTAAATACAATTCATGATCATGTACTGGGTTCCAGTGTTAAAGGAAAAAAATTTGATATGAAGGGCATTATTGGGTCAGTTGACACAATTGGAAAACAAACAATAGGTTAAAGAAAAGTATGGTATCAATGTTAAATTTACTGAAGTTGATAGCTATATTGTGGTTATGTAAGAGAATATCCTAATGCTTAGGAGGTACACAATGAAATAGGTAAAGACCCATAGTGTTTATAATTTATTCTCAAATGGTTACAAAAAAATACATGTGAATATATGCGTATATATGTATATACATATAGAGAAAAAGAACACATGCACAAGCACAAATGATGAAGCAATGAGGTAAAATGTTCATAATAACAAAGTTGCATAAAAAGTATATAAACGTTGTTGAATATTCTTGCAACTTTTCTCTAAGTTTGCTATTATTTCCACAACAAAACAAAGCAAACACTTGACTCAAGATAAAAAGTGTGTGATAGAGTGTTACAATTGAGATAAAGGAGATGAACTGCCTGGGGGTGATCTAAAAACCTTTTTTGGAGACTGGAGCATTTTCACTGGGCATTAAGAGTGGGATAACAAGCCGGGCTAGGTGGCTCAGCCTGTAATCCCACACCTTTGGGAGGCTGAGGTGAGTGGATTGCCTGAGCCTGTGGGTTCGAGACCCACCTGGGCAGCGAGACCTCATTTCTACAATAAATCAAAAAAAATCAGCCGGGCCTGGTAGCACATGCCTGTAATTCCGGCTACTTGGAAGGCTGAGGTGGAAGGATCGCCGGAGCGCAGCAGGTTGAGGCTGCGGTGGCCGAAAGCGGCCACTGCACTCCAGTCTGGGCGACAGAGTGAGACTCCAACTCAAAAAAAAAAAAAAAAAAAGAGTGAGATAACAAGCCGGGGCTCAGTGGCTCAGCCGGTAATCCCAGCACTTTGGGAGGCTGAGGTGAGTGGATTGCCTGAGCCCGCAGGGTTCGAGACCCGCTTGGGCAACTTGGCGAGACCTCATCTCTACAATAAATCAAAAATTAGCCGGGCGTGGTACCGTACCCCTGTAATTCCAACTACTTGGAAGGCTGAGGCAGAAGAATTGCCGGAGCCCAGCAGGTCAAGGCTACGGTGGCCGGGAGCAGCCACTGCACTCCAGTCTGGGTGACAGAGTGAGACTCCAACTCAAAAAAAAAAAAAAAAAAAAAGAGTGGGATAACACACCAAACAACATATTCCTTACCCTGGACAAGGTGGACAACGTGACTGGGAGCTGGGTATCAACTCTCCCTGGCCAGGAAGTGATGTGTGCCTGCTGCTGACTGGTCCTGAAATGTTTCTTGAGATTGGCAGAGGTGGGGGAAGGGGCAGCAGACAGCCTGTGACCCAACAAATGGTGTCCCTTGAGCGGGTACTGGCATAAAAGCCCTGTGGGTACTACTCTGGAAACAGGACCTCCTTACCTACTCTGAGTTTTGACTAAGTCCTTCTGTGTTCCAGATACTTGAAGACAGCTCAGGAGTCACCACCAAAGACAAAGGCCTTGGTCATAATATTCTGTCATTTCCATATGCTAAATGGTTATTATCTGAGTCACTGGGTTCCAGGAAATGACAACCTCCAGTCTCTGTGGGCAGGGCCACATCTCATCGTCTCTGAATCACTTAGACCCGAGAACAGCGAGACCTCAACAGTAGCTCATCCATTGGAATCATGAGGCTGGTCAGCACCGCCAACTTTAAATGACAAACAATATGGCCTAAATTAAGCTTTCAGACAAGCAAATTAAGCTTTCAGACAAGCAAAGCATTCCAAATAAAAACAGGTGAGGATGGAACAGGCACAGAGAGTCGGATGTAGGTTCAACACACTAACATGGGGGAGCAGAAGATATAGAACCCCTCCTAGGCATAGTAAGAATATACCCTCAATTTTGGTGACAACTCTGCCAGGAATTTACAGTCTTCTGCTCTTTATCCACTAAATTCTTACAAGTAACATAATGAAAATCACCAAGAAGTAACAACTTACCTTGGCAAGTTTCTCTGGTTTGGAGGAGACGTGCAGCTGGGAAAATAGCTCTGTTATCTCCTTGGTAAAATCTTCATCCCCTAAAAAACCAAGTCTCTATCAAACACTCCAGAAAGACTGTTGAGGATCATGAGGAAGTAGCACAGAGGGAGAAGAGCAGTGACAGCAGCAACAGCAATAACTATAGCAGCCACAGCGAATTACAAGAGCAGGATGCTTTAGCGCTTACAGAATACTTTCATGTATATTGTATCAATGAAGGCCTCAATGGGTTTGGAAGAAAAGTGCCACCCCATTTTTAAGGATGAAGAAATGAGGGCTTAAAAACATTAAGTGTTTTCCCCAAGATCTCACAGCAAAGATAAGCAGATCAAATCTTAGTCTTCCCACTTCCAGTCCAAATCCTATGCTTCTTGCAATACATCCCAGAAGCATGAATGTACAAGTAGTAACAGCAGAGTACCAAGCAGGCACTGTGCATGTGCTGAGTACCAGGCAAGTACTGTGCACTCCATTCCAGGAAGTGGAATTTAAGTTGGGACATGAAAAATGAAAACAAACTAGTCAGGAGAATGGGAAGAGTTTCAGTCAGAGAAAACAAGTGCAAAGAGCCAAAGATGAGAGAAGGCATGGCAAGAAGTTCAGCATGGTCGAGAGAAGAGAACCATGGTAAGGAAGAGAAAAGGGGTGGAATTAAGCTAGAAAGGTAAGGTCCCGATAATACAGGCCATATAAAGGCCAGGCATGGTGGCTCACACCTGTAATCTCAACACTTTGGGAGGCTGAATCTAGAAGACTGCTTAAGGCCAGGAGTTTGGAGATCAGCCTGGGTAACATAACATACTACATCTCTACATATACACACAAAAGGCTATATGAACCGTGGTGAGGAATTTGAACTTTATACTGAGGGAGTGAGGAACCACTAAATGGTTTTAAGACAGACACGATCAAATTTAAATTTTAGAAAGATTACTTTGGCTACCAGATAGAGAAGAGATTAGAAGAGGGAAAAGGAAGGGAGGCAAAATCCAGGATCCAGGTAAGAGAGAATGGGGGATAAGAAGAAAAGGGTTATAATTAGTACGTACTCGTATAACTAAAAATAATATCTTCAAAAAAAAAGGAAGATCAGGATTCCAAAATGTTGGAAGGATGGTAAGGAAGCTGCTGGAATTAGCCTGGTGAAAGATGATAGAGAACATGAAGCATCTATAATGCTTGTGAATGGGTGAGTCAAAGTTTAAAACACACACACACACACACACACACACACACACACACACACTCAGACAATGGCAGGAAATGCTCTTTCCTTCTCCACTCATCTAAACCCTATCCACTCCCCAGCTTGGAAGCCCAGCCCAAGGCTTCTCTGTAACATGGAATGCAGAAGAGAACTCTTGTACACAGAAATCTTCTAGCAATTACAATTTATGAGTATTTTTAAATTCACCAATCCATGGTTTGCCAGGGCAAATTATTACTGTTTCATACCTGTCATCCTTCCCCAATATCTCCAGGAAGAAAAAAGTATATCTTGGTTCTTTTCTCTTCATCTACTATCCTTTTGTCCCTCTTAGTGTTTAAGAGATTTCAAATATCTTAGGCAGAGATTTCAAATAGTTTAGTGGTCTCAGGTACAATATACTTTCAAAAAAGCTGATCTCACTAACAATACAATTCTGACCTACATGACTCATCTAAACAACTCCTAGTGACATCTTACTATCTAAAATCTAAAACTTGACTCTTAGGTAGACATTTTGTCTTCCCAAATAAGTTCTAAATTAATTTGGGTACATGAGATGAATTCACCCTGGGATGCATATACCCACAGGGAATCACAAAATTATCCAATGGAGTGCAGGAAAAAAATAATAGCCTTATTATTTATAGAGATTTACCTCATTCTATAAGCAATTCTATTTTAGAGTATATATTAGAATATAAATAATATGCTATTATGATAGTACATGTATATGACTTATAAACATTCAAATATCCATATATTATGTCTGAGTACTCAAATACTTTTACTGCTAAGGGCTATGATTTAAAAAGATTTGGAGATCACTGTTATATACTCTCCACAGAACTGAGCATAAAAAGTATTGTTGCATGAGAACACAAGTATATAAGGATGAAGAGGAGTCAGGGCTGGTGATTGGGAAGGACTCTTGAGGGGGTTGGAATCTCCCCAAGCAAGAAGACTCCCACAGCAGAGGACCAGGGGCCCAAGTCAGAGGGACAAGGGCTCAGGATGCTGACGTAAAATGAAGATGACCAACACCAGCAGAACTAGGTTTTGTGGGTTTCCTCTCCCAGCTACTCCGCCGTTTTTTTTTTTAACAGCTTCATTGAGATGATTAAATACTAAGGTCACTGTGGCATTCTCAACCAAAATCACTGACGGGGGTTAGGGCAGGGTGAGGAATGGGGGGAATCCATTGCTATCTGTTCAGAGTTCTGATCTCTGGTGAATAAGGAGAAAAAAATGAACATAGACATAAATCTGTTTAGAAAACTCCTTAGAGTCCTCCAAATGGTATTTAAAGATTGGGATTTCTGATTACTATGCAAAGCTAGATGTTGAACTAATACTCTTAATGGCACCATGTACAAGTAATTTAAGTTTATAAATAACGGGATTGTCATATCAGGGCTTGGTTATGAACAATGGGGCAACTTAAGAAAACTAAAATTAATTCGTCTTTGTCCTACTAAGTGAGACTTGTAAAGGCAGATTTTTATCTATTTATTTATTCCTTCCTAATAATGAAAATAATAGCCACCATTTGTTGAATGCTTACTATGTGACACATATTAAATATAGTATTTCGTTTGGTTCCTGTAACAAACTGAGAGGAATTAGCACACTCTTCTTACAGAGGAAACAGATGCTCAGAGTTGAGTAACTTCCCAAGGATACACAGCTTTTGAACCCAACTTTAACTCCAAACTCATCCTTTTTATTCACCATGCTATATCACCTTCTCAATACCTCAGGACAGCTTTTAAAAAATTATATTCAAGAACCATTTTCTCATCAGGACCATTACCTGTAGACAGAATAGGATGTGACTTAGAGAGATGTTATACAGCCAGCCAATTTGACTTCTTAGGACACAATGCAGAACACCAATGGAAACAAAAAAGAAAAAGTCCCTGTTTGTGCAAATCCACACTCAACTTTACAATCCTCTCACAGGAAACTCCAAGACCCTCACTCAGAGCTCTTTGCTTTTAACAGACAACTCAAATAAGACTAGTTATCTGGTTTTCCACCCATAGCAGATTAGAAATAGAAAACAAAATGAGAAGGGGATATTGGAAGCAAGCTGACAGTGAAATAAAGACAGACAGATAAGTAAACAGAAGGAAATAAAGACATAACATTCTAAAAAGCAATCAGAGACATCTGGAAAAACATTATAGTGTAGGAAAATTAAATCCAGCAATTCTTGAAAAACTATAGTCTCAGGACCTCTTTTACTCTTAAAAGTTTTTGAGAACCTCAAAGAGGTTTTTTAATGTAAGTTATTATCTATCTAACATTTATATTTTAAAATTTATATTAAATATTCTTACATTAAAAATTAAAACATATATTTAAAGTATTTATTAATTCATTAAAAATATACTCATTACTTTTTTTGTTTTTTTGAGTTGGAGTCTCACTCTGTTGCCCAGACTGGAGTGCAGGGGCCGCTCCCGGCCACCGCAGCCTCCACCTGCTGGGCTCCGGCGATCCTTCCGCCTCAGCCTTCCAAGTAGCTGGAATTACAGGCATGTGCTACCAGGCCCGGCTGATTTTTTGATTTATTGTAGAGATGAGGTCTCACTGCCCAGGTAGGTCTCGAACCCACGGGCTCAGGCAATCCACTCACCTCAGCCTCCCAAAGGCGCGGGATTACAGGCTGAGCCACCAAGCCCGGCTTCATACTCACTACTTATTAACATAAATAATTTTTAATCATTTTTCCAAAAAAGAAAAATTTTAATGAGAACAGTGCCATCATTTTACATCACTGTTAAAATCTCTTTAATTCAAGTTTAATAGAAGACAGCTAAATTCTCTTATCTACTTTTATATTCAGTCTATTATGATACATTGCTTTAAGTACCAACCTTACAAAGATAAGTATTGGGAAGGGAAGAAGAATTTCAATAGCCTTTTCAGATAATTGTGGATTTTCTTTAATACTATACCAAAACTCAACATGTTGTCATTTAAACATTAGCTGCAATGAACTTTATTGCAATAAACTTGAAACCGTATTATAAAATTTTGTACTCAGTTACACTAAGTTAAAACCTATTAGTCTATCTTTACCCGTAATGATTTGATCATACATATTAGTCATTTGGAAAATACTGGTTCTGATTTCATCAGAAGAGTCTATAATAACTAGACAGCTGTCAAATTCACCACAGCAGCAAATGATTTACAAAAGTTTAACCCTCACTTAATTTAAATTTTCATAATGAATCACAAATACATTTAGTTGCTTTCCTTGAAGTAAAGGCTCACTTCATTTCATTTTCAAGAAAATGTGCACCAAATATCCAATTCTGCAATCTGTGTTATTATTAGCCTTTTAAGTGAAAACAGAGTTCCATTAAAAAAGCAAGCAGTTCAGTTCATAACTCAAATAACACAAGTGTTTTTCCTTGAGGCACCACCATACCTCAATATGCACTACAGAGAATATTAAAAAGATATATACTCAAAGGTCAAGATGTAATAAAATGAATAACTTTTACTGCTTCAACAAGGACAAGGTTAAACAAAACTGATACTTTTTTTTTAACTACAAATTTGTGGCCATGAAAAAACAATACTAGTACAGTTTGGTGCTACTATCTTGATCCATGTTAAGGCACCAGTAATTTTACCCACTATTGCTATCAACCAACAGCACAGATGTCAAAATAGTAAAATAATAATACTTAAAAAAAAATTTTTAGTGTAATAACATTTGGTATTATTATGCAGTATTTTGACTCATGGACTCCCTGAAAGGATCTTGAGGATTCAAGAATCTGTAAACACACTTTGTCAACCACTGATTTCATCTACCACGTGGGTTAATAGTCCTATATGTCTTGATGAAACCTGAGAAAATTTTTCTATTCACTTTTAATGTTTATAACTAATTGTTTCACATCAAGAAAAGGAAAAACTGTGTTCATTAGATTCTACTTCTCTTTAAAAAGTCAGTTATTACATATCTTAGAAATATTTTCAGCTAAAATGTTAAAATAAAACAATCCTTAGAACTTAAGATTCAGTTGTCCAGAAATTATACTTTTTGCAAAATACCTCATTTCCTGATAATTTTGCAAAAATTAGTAGTTTCTACATTTACATTTTCTGAGTAATGCAGATTAACATATGAAATACAGGAACTTTAAAAATGAAAAAGACAAACTATCACCTACATTTTGGTTAACTGTCACCCTGTATGCCTCAATTCAAGAGAAGTCAGGGTCACAGGAGTCAGATAGGCATAGGGAAAGTATTTAGGAATACAAAAGTTCATTGGGCCAATAGGAGGCCAAACAGAGGCAAGAATCTGACAAGAGCAGCTCTGAAACTGCAAACATGGGCAGAGATGTGAGTTGCAAAATTAGACTTGGAGAAGCAAAAATAGAGTTTGGCTGGGAGGTGGTGAGGGGACATGGACATAAGGCCAACTATCCCCATTAATGTCTAGTCAGGAGCAAGGCTGCAGAGGATTCTGCCAAAAAAAAAAAAAAAAAAACTCTCACTGCAAGAGGTAAAATGAGGCTAGTGTAAATAGAAAGCAAATGATTTATTTAAAGGGTACTGCATAAATACACTGCATTTTCTCCTCTCAGATTCTACATTTTTATATTACCTTTTTTCTCTTCTTCTTCTTCTTCACAAAATTCTTCCAGAGAAAATGCTTCTTTGAGTTGCTCTAATTCAAGTTTTAGCGTCTCTAATTCTTCTCCACTCAGAGAAATAAGGATAGATTTCATCTGAATGGGTAATAATGAAAATTATGGGAGTATGAAAGAAAAACATTCTCAAACAGAGACTATAGTTCAACTTGAAATCAAAATTATGAGCTCACCAGTGAACATGAGATATTCCTTAAAAACCTTAACACAAGAGGCTGATTATTACAGAAAGCTAGAGACAATTTGTACTTCCAAAAATAATACAAGCTAGAAATGTCTGAAAATTATTAGTACTTCACAGCTTAGAAATTGGGAATAAAATGAAATAATCTTAAATCAATTAAAAACTAGCAGGTAACTGTACACATATGGGTAGTTTAAGTCAACAGGTCCTTGGCACCTTAAACCAAAGAAACTTTAAAAAGAAAAAAAAGTGAAGGAAAAATAACAGATGTGCTATTAAGACCTGTTCTTTTTGTTTAAATTAAAGAAATAACACTTGTTTCATTCTATTTCTAGCAATTAGTTCAATCAAGCACAGTTTTGTGTTTGTTTTGGAGAGTATTTCCAAAAAGTTTCAAGCCTCCATGTGAAATACATTTCATCTCCCTACTATACAATGAGAAAATAAATTGTGCAGCATTTTTTTTTTTTTTGAGTTGGAGTCTCACTCTGTCACTCATACTGGAGTGCAGGAGCCGCTCCCAGCTACTGCAGCCTCGACCTGCTGGGCTCCGGCAATCCTTCCACCTCAGCATTCCAAGTAGCTGGAACTACAACTGCACGCTACCACACCCAGCTAATTTTTGATTTATTGTAGAGATGAGGTCTCGCCAAGTTGCCCAGGTTGGTCTCGAACCCCTGGGCTCAGGCAATCCACCTCCTAAAGTGCTGGGATTACAGGCTGAGCCACCGAGCCCAGCTAAGTGAGCATTTTCTAAGCCTTAGTGCTCTCACCAACACCTCCACCGCAAAAAATGCGTAATTTAAAAATCATTAAAATTCTTCAAAAGGAAACACTAACAAGATCCCAAGTAAACACAGGCAAAAATATAGATCAAAAGAGAAACAGGAAGTAAACAGATAAGACAAAGAATACCTGAGACAATGTGGAATTCCGGTTCATCAGACCCTTAGTTCTTTTAAATCCAGGATCCCCTTCTGCTATTACATCCATTGTCTTTTTTCCAATGAATTCTAGGGCATCCAAACCCCCACTGATAACGCTCTTTCCCTAGAAAACACATGCAGTCTCATTATAATATTGAGAAAACACATTTGCATGTTTCTAATTACATAAAAGTAGTGGTTAAAAATCACAAGCACTGACAAGAATATGAAGCAACTAAATCATATGCTGCTTGTGGGAATATAAATCGTTAGTAACCACTCTGGAAAACTGTCAATATCTACTACAGCTGTATAATCCAGTAATTCTATTCATGGTTACACACCCAACATAAATGTGTACAGGGTTCATCAGAAGACAGGTACAAAAATGTTCTTAAGAGTGCTATTTGTAATATCTATAAACTGGAAACTACCCCAATACTCACCAACTGTGGAATGAATAAATAAAATGTGACAAAGCCTCACAATGAAACCCACCACACAAACTGAACCTTGAATAAACTGTAAAACATAATGCTTTGTGAAAGAAGCCAGATATAAAAAAGTATGATTCCATTTATATAAAGCTTAAAAGCAGGCAAAATTAACCTGTGATGGTAGAAGTCAGGATTGTGGTTATCTTGGTGAGAAAGAGGAGGAGGCTCAGAAGACTGGGAGAGGAAACAGGTGGGGGGCAGTTGATGCACTATAATGTTGTTTCTTAGTCTAAGTAGGTTCACACTGTGAAAATGCAAACTGAAAACTTATGGTTTAATTTTCTGTATGTATGTTATACTTCAGTAAAATGTTAAAATAAGTACTAGTCACCTATCCTTATGTAGGAAAGAAATTAAGCTTCCTATGTAGTACTTCTAAGTTGTTTCAAATCATATATAGTTTTACAAGTATTTGTCATAAAGAACACATTTTCCCTTTGCCTAAGAGATGCAATAATTGTAAAGCAGAGCTATTTTCTATGGCCAGTAAACTAGAATTCCTAGTCCACAGATAATGCACATTGCATCTCTATAACTTTTCATTCCCTACTCCCTTCCTTATGCCTTTGAAGAAAGTTTTCAAGTAGCTCTCACTCTACTCCTAAGATCAAAGTGATTGATCTTCAATGATTTGAACGCCTTTAAGAGTAATCCGTCCCCACGGCTTTTCAAAGAAAAGGAGAAAGATGAGAAAACCCATTACAATAATGGAAGGGAACAGGCCAATGTGCACTTTTTACTCACTGTGCTCTGAACAGCAGTAGAGATGGTTGAGAACACACCAAATGGCCCAGTGGCTATGGGGGAGTTTTCACTCTCTTTGACATCTGTCTCTCCTATAAGAGAGAGGAGTTATGTAAACATGATGGGAAAGTCCATTAAGTGTTTTACTTTATTAGCATCTTTATGAACCTTTAAAAATTAGATACTGTTTCTTACACATAAATCCCTAAGCCCTTGCCGTATTATTTGCTTATTTTTTAATGAAAAGTAAGGCAGGCAGCTTTTCTTCATTTTCATTTCAAAAATAAAATCCAGTCCCTTGAACAAACTACTTATGTATGCAACAACAGACTATATATTGTGTAATTCCAGTTGTAAGCTCTTTCTGGACAAAGTAAAACCCCAAGTTCAAAAACAGATCAGTGATTGTCAAACGCTGAAAGTAGGTGGAACGGGGTTATTACAAAGGAACATGAGGGAACTTTTGGGGGGTAACAAAAATATTCTTGCCAGGTGCGATGGCTCAAGCCTATAATCCCAGCACTTTGTGAGGCCAAGGGGGGACGATTGCCTGAGCCCAGGGGTTCGAGACCAGCCTGGGCAAATTGGTGAGACCTCGTCTCTTCAATAAGTCAAAAAATAGGCCAGTCATGGTAGCATGCACCTGTAGTCCTAGCTACTTGGAAGGCTAAGGTGGAAGGATCACCTGAGTCCAGCAGGTCGAGGCTGCAGTGACCGTGAGCGTGCCACTGCACTCCAGCCTGGGAGACAGAGTGAGACTTCAACTCAAAAAAAAAAAAAAAAGAAAATATTCTTATCTCTCAATTGCCCATATAGGTATCGGAAATATTTTTCTGTATCTGTATAATCACAATGTACTATGGTTATACAGAATAAATAGGAATGCACATATTTGTCAAATATGTAAAACTATATACCTAAGAAGGGTAAATTTTACTGGATATAAATTCTAACTCAACTCAATTTTTAAAAATCCAGTCTACTTTAAATTTTACCCTAGAAAATTATACTTATTAACAGAAATCAAACAGACATATAATACAAAGATGGGTATGTTTCAAAAAATAATCTCTCCTATTAACCTGAAAAATGTCTCGTAGAACAACTATTATACCAAATAATCTACCTACATCAAAAACTCTATTATAGAGAAGACATCCACTTTCAGGAATGGTGGATTAACTAGTATTCAATCTGCCCTCCTACCACAGAAACTTTAAGAAAAAACTGTTGGCCGGGCTGGGTAGCTCAGTCTGTAATCCTAGCACTTTGGAAGGCCAAGACAAGTGGATTGCTTGAGCCCACGCCTTCGAGAAAAAACTGTTTTCAGACATAGGACAACAGACAGTACAAAACTTTAATCCACACAAGAAGATAAACAAAATGAGCCCTATGTTGGCAGGGTTTTCTGTCTAGAGGGCCCGTCTAGACCATGATACAGGGAGGGGAAACCCAAGCAGAGCATGGCAATCACAATGAGTGGAAGAAACAGTGCCTGGAATCCAGGAGGCTGAAGCAGTAGGAACCTGCAGGTCAGAAAACTGGAGAGAGGAAGCTACATAGGTAAAGAGTTCTAGAATCTATATTGGTGTGCCCTTATGTCTTTGCCTAAAGACTACACTGCTTTGAGAGCAGCCTGGGCAATTTGGTGAGACCTCATCGCCACAAAAATTTTTTTTTTACAATTAGCCAGGCATGGTAGCAAGTGTCTATAGTTCCAGCTACTTGGAAGGCTGAGGTGAAAGGATCGCTGGAGCCCAGCAGGTCGACCCTGGGGTGGCCATGAGCATGCCTCTGCACTCCAGCCTGGGCGATGGAGACTCCAACTAAAAAAAAAAAAAAAAAAAAAAAATACTACACTGCACAGGTACCAGGAGACTCCACAAGTCTGAGCAAAAAACAACCATGGAACAATCCCCAGAGCTCATGCAAAATTGAGAGGTTTGACTTCAACCAACCAAAGTAAAGAGCTTAATTAAAACCTGGAAATTAAGTAGAGCCCTCAAGAGTCAGGACTTAGTAGCACAGATAAACTAGTACTTAGAGTAAAGGCTACTCTAGACTCACCTTAACAAGCTTAAAAACTAGCCTTAAAAGGATCAGTCTAAGTCACATATACCTTTACTGCCTGCCCACAGGAGGGCAGAAGACAACACCCTTTATTTTGAGTTGAGGTCTCATTCTGTCACCCAGGTTGAAGTGCAGTGGCATGCTCATGGCTCACTACTGCCTTGACCTCCTAGGCTCCGGCGATCCTCTCACCTCAGCCTCTCAAGTAGCTGGGACTACAGGCACGAACCAGCTAGTCTTCAGAGTTATGTAAAAGAATCAGCATATTCTCCAATCTCCCTTCCCCAGATTTCCTTTTTTTTTGGCTAATTTTTTTCATTTTTTGTAGAGACAAGGTTTCACCATATTGCCCAGGCTGATCTCAAACTCCTGGGCTCAAGCAATTCTCTCACCTTGATTTCCCAAAGTGCTGGGATTACAGGCATGAGCCACCACACCTGGCTAACAACAGACTTTAAAGGAGAACAACAAAAATCCCGAAAAGGTGGTTGAATGACTTCCATTAGTGGCTTCTGCTTACCTCAAACTTCTGAAAAGATATATCTCAGCTACAAGACACATCTGCCAAGACACATCCTTGGCAGAGAAATTAACCCCCCTCCTCTGGGTTAGATGGGAGGGGCATATTATCTAATTTTGAAAAATTCTCACTGTTAAACTCTTTATTAAAATCTAAGTGTAACTGGCGGTAGAGGAGAAGGAGGGCATAAGGGATTTGGGGCAGAGGGAGCATGGCAACACACTGGGTACCAGATCCACTATCGGGGGATAGAGGGCCTGGTAGAAGTCCAAACTTCACCTGCATAAAACTTACTTATGTGGTAAATACTTACTTGTACACTACAGCTCTAAAACAAAATTTAAAAGAAATCTAAGTCCATATAACTTTCACCAAGTGGCACTAGTCCTCTCCTTATGAGCCACAAATAATAAAGTCCTCTCCTTCATGCTAGTCTTCAGAGTTATGAAAAGAATCAGCATATTCTCCAAGCTCCCTTCCCCAGATTTCCAGATTCAATATTCATGATGCCTTCAACTTTCTCTTGTAAGATTTTAATCCTAGATATTTCACTATCTAGCGCACACTTTCAGGATTCACACTAGTTTTTGCAATACCCTTTGTAAAACTTGGCCCTGTGTGGTAGACATCTTTCAGGTGTTATAAAGATGCTATTTATATATTCAACAGCATATTTTTCCTTGCCTGCTAAACCCAGTTCCTGATCTGAAGGTTTCTGATAATGCCCAAAATTCACTCTCCCAACATCTCTTGCTGCTATATCCTAACTATAAGACCCTGATCTAGATGGAAAACTTTTTTCTTTAAAGAAAGATGCAAGAGGGCAATGACACGTCCCATCTACTTAATTCCTGATTTTCAACACAGTAGTTTCACACTGGAAGTTGTAGTATTACCTGGCAGCCATAAAGAAAACAACCAAGAAAATGGTAGAGAAGCCAACCAAGAACGATGACATCACTGAGCCACTAAACTAACTCTGAAACAGCCTACTTCTGGAGTTTTAGGTGAGAAAATTAAATTCACTTTTAGTCACATATTGTTACTTGCCACCACAGTAGTCTGACTGAGGGAGACATCATTAAGAACAGTGCCTTCTATTCACATATATAGTCCTTTACAGCCATGCTTATATAATGTGATCTTATCTCATGGCCATAACTGACCTATGGACATGTGACACATATCAGTTGGTCTCCAATGGGCACTTATGCCAGGATTCAAAATAAAGTTACAGCTGGGAAAGCGATGCAGAGAAAGTCAGTCAGCTTTGAAGAAAAAAAAATACAGATAAACAGAAAAAAGCAAGAGTGAAAGACAATGAAGTCCCTGAAAGATGGAAAAAAAGCTGACTATTTTCTGGTCCCAGGTCCTCTTGATATCTGGTTATAATTCTATCCTTTAAGGCTGAAGTGAGAGTAGATTTCTGTTTGATCAAAGCAAGGCTGCAGAATTAAACTTCACCTTCATAAAAATCTGAATACAAAAAAATATACCCCAACGCTAATGCATTAAAATATTTTTCTTGTGCCATGATAGATTTAAATTCAGCTCTTATTGGCCTCTTACTCAATTATACCAAGCAAAATGCTAAGCAATTTTTACATTCTATATTCATGGTCTTATTTGTTTAATGTTTATAACAGTCATTTGAGATAGATCCTCTTTGCTACCACAGTCCCATGATACCCTAAGTTTCAGATGTTCGACAGATATCTACTGGAAAATGAGTTTAACTGTTCCATTTTCATCCATAATCCTAGGTGTTTATATTTCCATATACTGACCTGTTGTGTACTTGACATCACTTGAAATTTCACTGGGACTAGGGATTCCAAGGGAAGTCTCTGCCTTCTCAATGGCATTTGAAATACCTTGTCCTAATGAGAAAAATGATTAACATTTTTTGCTATTAGTCACCAAAACTGAAGAAACAAACCAAAAAACAAAACCACAGATTTTCAAAAGCATTTGCAGCCAGCCACAAGACATGTTATTTTGACAATACGTAAATAACCCTTAGGACTATCTCCTTACAAAAAAATAAAACTGGCCAGGCTCAGTGGCTCAGCCCGTAATCCCGCGCCTTTGGGAGGCTGAGGTGAGTGGATTGCCTGAGCCCACGGGTTCGAGACCCGCCTGGGCAGCGAGACCTCATCTCTACAATAAATCAAAAAATCAGCCGGGTGTGGTAGTGCATGCCTGTAACTCCGGCTACTCGGAAGGCTGAGGCGGAAGGATCGCCGGAGCCCAGCAGGTCGAGGCTGCGGTAGTCGGGAGCGGCCACTGTACTCCAGTCTGGGCGACAGAGTGAGACTCCAACTCAAAAAAAAATAAAAAATAAAAAAACAAAACTGATTCATCATAACAAAGGAGTGAATTTACAGTAACAACTCCAGACTTCACCCTTCTAGTGAGGAAATGCTGCCAACTCTAATGGCAATACCCATCAGCCCATCATTACTAATGCATCCTCAGGCCATAAAGCCTTTGAGTAAATATAGGAGGAAGAAGAATTAACAAAGTCATTTGTAACACACACCTGTAGCAAAATGCACACAAAAAATAACTAGATTACTGATGAGCTTACCGACTGTGGCTACCGTAGCGGAGGCTGAGGAGAGTAAGGACTTGCCCCAACTGCCCCAATAGCCCCATCCAGTCTGGGGTGCTTCTTTAGAAACAGTCTCCTAATTTCCCAGTAGACAGAAAAACAAAAAGCAAAGAAAAATGGAAAAATTAGAGGAGAATCAGAATGTAAAGACAAGGTATCTAACTATTCGCCAAAAGTATGAGTGAACCAATACATACTATTTGGCTAAACAAACACAGATATACATTATCAGCATGTAAGTATCACATAGCAAGGCAACCATTCACAGACGTATTTATAAAATTGTATTTTAAGGTTGTAAAAGAACAAAATAAGCACAATCTTAAACTGGTATTGATTCCAAATTCCTTTAAATCCCAACTTTTTAATGCTGATATTTTAATAGATACTCTATTTTGCCTGCAGCCTGTGATACCTGAGCAGGGAGAACCTTTGGAGTCTCAAGGTCACTGGAAGACTTGGCCTCTGGTCTTTTCCGAGTGAGAGCTACAGGTTCTGATTTACTCTCTGGCTTGGCACTTTGGTCAACAGACTCAGAATTCTTGGCTGGTTCACAGTTTCCATCTTCAAGGATGGGGGTTGTTTCAGTTAGCACTGGAGTCTCAGTAACATCTTTATCTGACATGATTAGAACATCACCTGGCAAAATTAGAGCCCAAGAAAAAATGTATTTATATAAGTTTTGGGGGTATAAATTATTGCTTAAACTTCTTAGTTTGAGATTATTATAGATTCACATGCAAGTGTAAGGGGAATAGTACAGAGATTCCACACACCTTTACCAGTTTCCCCCAATGGTAACCACTTGCACGCTTGCAGTATAGTATCACAACCACGAAGCTGACATTGACGTAACCCACTGAGTTTATTCAGATTTCATCAGTCTGACATGCACTTATTTGTGTATTTAGCTCTCAAAAATTTTATTACATGTAGATTCTTATGACCAACACCACAATCAAAATACACAATTCAAAGGATCCCTTGTACTATCCTTTTTTAGCCATAGCCACTTCCCGCTCCTTCCAATTCAAAGCAACTACTGACCTTTCATGGAGAGATGTTCTCCATCTCTCTAATTTTGTCAATTCAAGATGCTATATAAATGAAATTACATAGTATGCTACCCTTTGAGATTGACTGTTCTCACTCAGCATAAGTTCCTCAAGATCCATTTGTGTGTATCAGTAGTTCCTATTTATTTCTGAATAGTACTTCATGATATGGATGTATCATAATTTGTTTATCTATCTACCCATAGAAGTATACATGGGCTGTTTCCACTTTGGGACTATTATGAATAAGATGGCTATTAAAGTTCATGTACAGGTCAGGCTTGGTGGCTCAGCCTATAATCCCAGCACTTTGGGAGGCCAAGGCAAGTGGATTGCCTAGCCTGCGGGTTCAAGACCAGCCTGGGTAACTTGGTGAGACCTTGTCTCTACAATAAATCAAAAATTAGCCGGGCGTGGTAGTGCTTGCCTATAGTTCTGCCTACTTGGAAGGCTGAGGTGGAAGGATCGCCAGAGCCCACCAGGTCGACACTGGGGTGGCCAAGAGTGTGCCACTGCACTCCAGCCTAGGTAACGGAGTGAGACTCTGATGCAAAAAAAAAAAAAAAAGTCCATGTACACATTTTTGTAGGAACAAACCTTCATTTCTTTGGGATAAATGATCAAGAGTAAAATCGCAGGGTCATATGATAAGTGCCTGTTTAGTTTTATAAGAAACTGCCATACTATTTTTCAGAGTAGCTACCCCATTTTACATTCCCACCAGCAATGAATGAGTAATCAGGTTTCCCTGCATTCTCACCAGCATTTGGTGTTGTCACTATTTTGGGGGGGGGGGCATTCTGATAGTTGTGTGTTACCTCACTGTGGCTTTAAAGTTGCATTTCTCTAATAGCTAATGAGGTTGAACATCTTTTCATCTATTTATTTGCCATTTGTATATACTCTAGTGAAATATCTTTGCGTCTCTTGCCCATTTTGTAATGAGATTTTTATTATTTTTACCATTGAGTTTTGTGAGCTTCTTATATATTCTAAATCATGTAAGAAATTAGCTCTTTATATATTATAAATCCTCAATGGAATATGTGGTTTACAAATATCTAACCCAGTCTGTAGCTTATCTTCTAACTGTCTTCATAAGGTCTTCCATAGAACAAAAGTTTTTAATTTCTCTGAGGTCTGATTTATAGATTTTTTTTTCCTTTTATTGATTGCCTTAAAAAACTCATTAGTTATTCAACATTCCTACCTCCATTTTTCCAGAGACATTATGAAACTTAAGCCATCAGATAGGATTTCTATCTGATCAATTTTTGAATACCAACATTATCCAACTCAACTCCTTCCAGAAATAGAGCTCTTTGGCAGCTTAAAGTCAAGATACAACCTCATACATATGGTGGGAATCCCCAAAAAAGGTATTTATAAAAAACTGTGTATTTATTCTTACGTGCTTAAACTTCAGTCACTGTCAAAGTACTCTCTATTTGATGCAATACACCTATCAAGACACTTTTTCTACTGCTCAAAACAGTTTCGAACTTGCCAATTGTGATGCCTTTTAGTGTTGCTGCCATTTTTTGCTTCTTCTCTTTCACATCGGCAAAATGTTTCCCTTTGAGGACTTTTGTTTCAATCCAGGGAAACAAACAAACAAAAAAGTCACTGGGGTGAGATTAGGTGAATAGAGAGAGTGAGGCACACAGGTCTTGCTGTTTTTGGTCAAAAATTGCTGAACACAGTACAGTGTGGGCAGGTGTGCTTGTAAATCACCCATCATGAAATAGGTAAATGCACTGAAAGAATCTCCTAGGAAAAAATTCACTGAAACCAAACACAGTCTCTCCCAACAATGCTAGCTGGTAGACTGATGCCGATGGGTTCCTAGAACACTTACCTAGCAGGAGAAGTCTACACTACAGGGCCTGCCCTCCAAATAGATAATACCATTTTTGGGGGTCTCACCTCATACATACCTATGATGTACACACATACTATTTGCATACATACATACACACATAACACACACATGACTTGGTACGTATAAACACATTTTTAATACTGATATTACTAGCCGGGCTCGGTGGCTCAGCCTGTAATCCTGCACCTTTGGGAGGCTGAGGTGAGTGGATTGTGGATTGCCTGAGCCCGTGGGTTTGAGACCTGCCTGGGCAACTTGGTGAGACCTCATCTCTACAATAAATCAAAAAATAAGCCAGGCGTGGTAGCGCACGCCTGTAGTTCCAGCTACTTGGAAGGCTGAGGCGAAAGGATCACCAGAGCCCAGCAGGTCGAGGCTGCGGTGGCCAGGAGCGGCCACTGCACTCCAGTCTGGGCAACAGAGTGAGACTCCAACTCAAAAAAAAACAAAAACAGAAAACAAACAAACAAAAAATACTGATATTACTAAGTGCAGAATTAAATCCAATCTAGGCCATCACAATGTTTCTAATGTATTAGAAAAGAAACATATTAACAACTAAGGTAGATTAGACACAGCACTAAAATGCTAAAAGAAAAGAAAGAATGAAATTATTAGAATCAAGCAATATAATTCATGAACAAAGTGCCTGAGCCTAGAGTTGTGGTTACAAACTGGGAATCTGAATACCACATTCAGCCTACGTATGTTTTTATTTTGCCTGCACAGTGTTTAAACTTTTTAAAATTAGTTGCTAACATTTAAAAATCAGGCTTCATATAAAAATATAGGTTTTCAACTTCTCTCTTGTAAAACCATCTGGCAACACTGGGCCCACCTCTGACTTGGAGATAACTAGCTGGTGTTAAATAGCAGCTGGGTCCTTGTAGACCAGGCAGCGCTCTCCAGTTTCCTACAATCACCCACCCAAATCCACTTCACTCATATATGTTACCTGATTAGCTCCTGTAGACATATGAGTTTGCAACACTTGCCTTAAAAAATGCTTAGGATTTTGACAGATGAAGAAGCCAGTGACAGAAATCAAGGATGTGGAAATAACACATGGGCACACTCAAAGGCCTAAGGTGTGACAGTATGGGATATGGACAGTCACCAGGAGTAGTTAACATGGCAGGGAAAAGGATGGGGAGCCATAAAGCTAGAAAGGTATATTACACAATACCATGGAGCTCAGATTCTATGGGTATATGATATATAGTACACATTTCCAAAACACATAGAAAAAAAAAATTCAGATACAACTACTTGCTGACATGCAAACCAACTTAGAAGTATTCACTCACTCACCTGAATCCTTTTTAGAATATCTACTGTGTGCCAAGTGGTACACTGTACCTCTGGAGATGAAGAACTAATGTAGGACCAGGCACTGTGGCACATACCTGTAATCCCAACACTTGGGGAGATTGAGGCAGGAGGACTGCTTGAGCCCAGGAGTCGAGACCAGCCTGGGCAATATAGTGAAACCTCGTCTCTGAAAAAAAAAAAAAAAAATCAGCTAGGTATGGTGGTGCATGCCTATAGTCCCTACTCGAGATGCTGAGGTAGAAGGATCGCCTGAACCTAGGAGATCGAGGCTGCTGTGAGCTGTGATCATCATGACCACACCACTGCACTCCAGCCTGGGCAACAGAGTGACACCCCGGACTCAAAAAAAAGAAAAAAAAAAGAACTAATGTAGAATACAATTTCTGCCCCACTCCAAGGAACTATCAAATAGGAGAAACTATACAGTTCTTGCACAAAGTTCAATTAATCTTTTGTACATATTAATCGTTTTTTTTTTTTTTTTTTACTATTTTTTCCTTTTGCACGTTCAAGGTCACAACACATCATCATTATAAATATTAAAAATAATATAGTAGTATATATATACTTATTACATAAATACAATTCATATAATTCTCTAAGAGACTGGAAGGACATCCTCAAAAATATTAAACATTAATTATTTCTACTGTTTCATTTGTACAACACAGGCTTAATGTGCATCTAAAATGTGCCAGACATTTGAGCTAAGTTAGAATTTTCTGTGGTGATGGCTGGTTATATTATCATTACCACCATTATCATTACTATCATTATTAAAATGGTTGTGCCATTCCTGTTCTCACCCAACTCATCATCTAGTCAGAAGGCAAAAATAAAGGAATAAATATCGGTTACATAGACTTATACTACTTAATGTTTTTTTTTTAAGTTTTCTAGATATTCTGCAGTAAGTGTGTGCTATTTTCATCATAAAAGGAGAAAGATCCCAATAACTAGAACATTAAAACTACCAGCCTTGGCAGTGTAGCAAGACTCCATCTCTACAAAAAAAAAAAATCAACTGGGCATGGTGCCTCATGCCTGTAGTCCCAGTTAGTCTCTCGGGAGGCCAAAATGGGAGGACCGTTTGAGCCCAGAAGTTTGAGGCTACAATGAACTATGATTGCACCACTGCATTCCAGGCTAGGCAACACAGCAAGACCCATTTCTTTAAAAAAATTTTTTTAAAGTAAAACTAAACGACTGAGCTACATTTTTAAGAGATAAACACACACTCACACATATGTAAATATATGTGTGTGTGCTGTACATATATACTCACTTCCGCTACTTACTAAATGGAGAGCGGGACAGCTCAGCAGCCAAGACCATGAGCTCTGGAGAGACTTCCTTCCAGTCCTGCAGCAATTTTAGGGAGGTCAGGTCACCTGTCTACTCCGTCTCTCCTCACCTGCCAAATGGGGTTATGGGTTTCTACAAAGATTCAACGTCGCAGGAAGAGAAAACCACATATCTTGTGTTCTCACTTATAAGTGGGCGCTAAGTTGCGGGGCCACAGGGGCACAAAGAGTGGTGGGACGGACACGGGGGATCCAGGGGACGGGGTGAGAGTGAGGAGAAGATGAAAAATCACCCATCGGGTACAACGCGCACTAGTTGGGTGCCGGGTACACTGCAAGCCCAGACCTCACTACTATACAATTCGACCACGTAACCAAGAACCACTTGTGCCCCTAAAGCTACTGGACTTTAAAATAAGTAGATAAAATAAAAAGTTATTACTTTTTTTAATTCAAAGGCAATGGGTGAGGGGCTGTGGACAATGAGAGGGACTGGGAACACTGCCTGCTGGCACATCCCCGTGCTCAGGTCCCAGCTGCTACTGGGACGTGGCGGCGGTGGTCTGTACTCATCTGATCGTTACTAAACGGGTCCCCACACAGGCAACACGCTCTTTCTCCCACACCAGAGGCGGGTCCCAGGTGGGCTCCGAAGTCCTCGGACGCTGACTGGAGCGCCACGCACACGCAGCGCTCCGGTCAGCACGGCGCCCCCACAGCCCCGCGCCCTGTCGGCGGTGTCTCCGCCACCCACCGTCAGGCCGCCTCCTGTCCCTCCCTAGTGACCATGGCCGCCCGGGCCTAGCCTTCGGCCCTCGCGATCCGCCGGCCTCGTCCCGAGAAGCCCCGAACCCCGCCAGCCGCCTCCCTCACCGCAGCCTGCGCCGCCGACTCGCCACTCCCGCTGCCCCGGAAGTGCCCCGTCAACGCGGAGGCGGGCTCGCAGGCCAGAGAGAACTTCCGGGGCAAGCAGCCGCTCGGACCGGAAGGAGCTCGGCGCGGGGCCGGTAAGTGGGCGCTCGGTGGGGGTTGGTTTGGGGGAGATGCTGGGGACGCGGAGGAGTGGGTGTTAGCCCGGGGGGTCGGGATGGGACGTGGAGGAGGCTAGGATGTGCGCCACAATTTTGAAGGCGTGGCCTGGGTGCGGGAGTTCAGTCTTGAAGCAGTTTTTGAGCACCAAATATTGCCAGGCACTTCCCTGGGCGTCGGGGTCACCCCGTGAACGAGCAAACAAGAGCCAGACTCTCTCTAAGGCTGACATTCTAGGAGGCGATACCGACCATAAACAAGTCAACAAACAGGACTGTCTGATAGTAAGTGCTTTAAGGAAATGTATAGGAGGTCATGGGGCGAATCGAAGTTAGGGAGTAATAAGCTTTATGAATGTCTGGGGAGAGAATTCCAGGCAGAGGGACTAGCACGAGCAAACTTAACAAGGTCAAGGAAAAGAAGAAAGGCTCCTGTGGATGGAGCAAAAATGTCAGGATGAGCATGCAGGGAAATGAGGGCAGGGACTTAAGACTCCGAATCTTCTACGGCTTATTCTTATGAGCAAGGGTAAGGAGTTTGATTTTTATCTGGAACTCAGTGGAAAACGATTGAAGGTTAAGATGACTCCTGGCCCCTCATTATAAAGATGCGTCTCTTCAGTTGCCCTTGAGCAGTGAGAAGGCGTGAAACCCGGACTGACAGGCATTAGAGTCAATCCTATTAAACAGATTCGGATAAACTGAATCCCAGAGAGGCCAAGGAACTGAGCTTTTTTAGGAACCCATGTCTTTCAACTTCATTTAATGCCTTCAGAATTATCATCTTAGTGTCCAGGTATAATAATTGTCACTTTGTAAAACCCTTCAGATATTTTCCTTTGCTTTTGTTGTTGCTTCTCTAAGTTTAGGTGCATCAAGTGTCACCTAGAATCTTGTAAAAATTTCAAAAACAAATTAAAAATCTGTATAAGTGTAAAATGAATAATTTCCTCTGGTTTTCTGTTGTAGTGGAAAATGCATAGAATTTGGGGCTTAAGTATGGAATCTTAATAAGCTATTTTACTATCTTCATCTTATTTATAAAATGCTGCTGATAATAATTATAACACCAGTTCTTAAACTTTTTGTTCTTAGAATTATTTTACACTTTTAAAACTTACTGAAAACTTCTAAGTTTTTGTTTATGTGGGTGATACCACATAAATGTTTGCCATTTTAGAAATCAAGTCAAATTTCAAAAAAGTTACTAAATCATTTAAAATGATAAACTTATTGCATGTTAACATAAGTAGCATTTCTATAAAGAATATTTTTCCAAAACAAAAAAATTACTGAGAATGCATTGTTTGACATTTTTTACAAATTTCTTTAATATCTGACTTAATGGAGGACAACTAGATTCTCCTACTTCCTGCAACATTCTGTTATAGTATCAGTAATCATGTAGCCTCTGGAAAAATTGCACTATATTGTGTGAGAACGAGAGTGAAAAAGGCACATGTCCTAGTATTACAAAAATAGGCTTGAAAAAAGTCTCAAGGATACCTAGGGGTCCTGGCACTACACTTTGAGAATCACTGAATTACAATATTGTCATGACAATCAAAAGAAATACGGGTTTGATTTGTAAATTACTAAAACTATATGCATGTTAAAATGCAGGCACCCAAGAGATGCCAGTAAGTTTGAGTGGGGCCAAGAAATCTGCATATTTAACAAGCACCACAGATTACTTTTATGTAAGTGGTCTAAAAATTACAGGTTGGAAAAACCAGTTATAGTAAAATTCTCCACTCTAGAGCAGCAGTCCCCAACCTTTTTGGCATCAGGGACCGATTTCATGGAAGACCATTTTTGCATGAATGGGAGGGTACAGGGAGGGATGTGCTAATGTTAATCTGTATTTGCAGCTGCTCCCCAGCAATAGCATCACCACCTCAGCTCCAGTTCAGATCATCAGGCATTAGATTCTCATAAGGAGCACACAGCCTAGATCCCTCACGTGCCCAGTTCACATAGGGTTCACGCACTTAGGAGAATCTAATGTTGGCACAGCAGAGCTCAGGCAGTAATGCAAGCAATAGGGAGCAGCTGTAAATATAGAAGAAGGTTCCCTGGCTCGCCCACCGTTCACTTCCTGTAGCCTGTTTCCTGTCAGGTCATGGACCAGTCCTGCTCTACTAAACAAAAAATAGATGTGTTTATCTTCAGATCTCTTATTAACAGATCTCTCCATTAACAGTTTCCAGAGCCCTAAACTCTGAAAAGTTAGTAAGAAGATTGTAGCAGACACCTTTTAGATTATGAGTCGATGAGTGTCTTTTTAGATTATAAGTCGATGAGTGGGCTAACTCAAAATGTTGAGCACTTGTCACAGGCAGTGTCCCTATGCCCAAGATTTGAGAAGGTTTTTAGACTCTGTCATTCACAATCATTTCATCTTTTGAACAGATAGTTAACTTGTAAGAGGGAAACTGTTAAGTCTTAACAAAAGACTACCCTTAGTATGCTAGAGTACTGACCAAACAAAAGAAACTTATCTGAAATTAGGAGGGTAGGGGTCAGAGTTTAGGTAAGAGGTCTTTCTGAATAAGGGAAAACTAGAGTTTGATATTGTAGAGGGTTTACAGTTTCCCTCAGGAAGATATTGATGGGAAGGGGCAGAAAGTTTTAAGCAAAGGAACAACTAAATCCAGAACTTCAAGGTTTTGGCTTTGAGCCATGGAAGGAAAGCTGGGTGATTGTAGGATTTAAGCAAAGAAGGGAATGATAATGATAATTAGCTTCCAGATGAAGAAACAGACCACTAAGCATATCATAGCTAATTAATGATAGAGGCCAGACTTAACTTCTAAATCCATTCATTCCTTCAGCAAGCAGTTGTCATGCATATAAGCACTGGCGCGCTCCTCATGATTTTGGTCCTGCTGCCTAAACCTATTAGAGAATTACGGATGCCAGGCTGGAATTTTAAGGTTATCTCGTGAGCAGTGGAAAATCACCAATAGATTTTAAAGTTACCTTGATTTGCTTGGATTCGTGTTTAGGACCTAAACGGGGGCAGTTTGGGGATATATGAAAGGAGTAAGGCAGGAGTTAAGGAGACCCATGCTGAAATTGAAATATAATGTGGTAGCCAGGTGACATAAAAGGACTGCAACCTAGGGCAGGGACAGTAGGACTTTAATGCTAACAATCTGCTCTTCATTTGCTTTTTCTCCCTTTGGCCAACTCAGATGCCACTTTGTCCATTTGTGTGCAGGGTTGTAGGAACTCCTGCATTTTCTAAGTGTGGCAGTACAGGCAGAGAAGTGTGGATGAGCTGCAATACAGCCTAAACACATTTAATTATGGAGAATGAAGCATTAATGTCCCAGTATGATTGGATTGAAAAAAAGATACCATCAGGGCATCAGTGCTTTCTCCTTTGCATTATCCCAGAACTATTTCTGCAAACAGCAGTTCCCTCAGCCAGTTTAATATTGGGCCACCAGAACGGAAACAAGCCATATTACTTCCTTATTTACTTATGTTGCGAATTGGAACAGAGGGGAAATATTTCTTTCTTCAGAAGTTGGCAGGAACAGCAACAAGGCAATCTGTTAGGAATGACCGCTATAGGCGATTTTCTTTCATTTTTAAATAATGTAGTCAATATTCAAAATGGTTTTCTGGGGTAAAATCATCTACATGTCTGATTATTCATGATCCTAGCAAAACTTACATTCTGTATACCTAAAAGATGAGAAAGGAGTTGGATGAAGCTTGAGTATCACACTTACCTGTTACATTTTTATATTATTGCTGAAGAAAGGTAACATAAAATTTTATCAAGTAACTTCATCCACAAATGCAGTCTAGATAGCCCTTTTAACTATTTACAGGAAGGTGACACTTTGATTTTCCTTTCTGAACTCCTTATTCTTCAGCTTCAACTGTTAGCTGCTGAACTGAGAATAGCAAGCATGTTATTATTAGAGGACGTCTCAAGCTTGCAATTGAACTCTATTCCTAAAATTTGTAAAGTTCTCATAATCACACTTCTCTTCAGTACATCTCACACTGTCTTACTTGGTTAGCTGTTTCTGCCCATGCCTTTCAAGCTAGTTTGTAAATTCTTGAGAGTCTGGGACAGTGTCCTAAATCATTTTAGCATC